GTAGAGCTGCAAGTGCTCGGTGTTTTGCTAATGATGGGGGAGTCGGCAGAAAGGACACAGACACCAGCAAAAGTCACTTATTATACTGCCTATTTCAAAGTATTCCAAGAATAGGGCAATGCCTTTAGCTAAAACAGTAACCTTATAACCCTCTAGTTTTAAGCAGCAAGGAGAATAAGCAGGGTAATGCCCCCAGTCATTACTCCATAAGGGTAATGATAGTGATGAAGAAAGCTGCAGCACCAATTGCCCCAGTGTGTGACCATCGCACAGATCTGCAGCCGCTGGGGAGCCTCTGCTGGCACTTCCCTGGCCACTCGGCACACTCGGCAGGAGGATCTGGGCTCCTGCCCTGCATCTGGAGCCTCTGGGCTTGATGCGCTAAGAATTCATGTCAAGAGCAATCAGCCGGGCTCCAAATTCACGCACAAAACTTAGGCAGGCTGATTCTGCAGTACTTTGGGCTTGGTTGGTTTTGGGTTCTTTAAATGAATGCCAGGATCTGTTCTAAATAGCATTTATTTCTGTGCATGAGCTTTCCTGTTCATTCAATTTTATCAGGTTTTTGGCAACAAAACCATGGTAAGTTTCCAATTTAGCACTACAGCGTTCATACACGGAACCTGAGCAAAGCAACTGAATGCTGAGGATCGGGCTGTGCAGCTCTGTCAGGGTCTCTTCGAACCAGAAAGAGCTTGCTTGGCTTACCTTAAAGTCACTGGGGACAATACTGTGGGGCCAGCCAGGCTGAGGGAGCGCAGCAACCGGTCCCTCAGCCTTTTGCATCACCTGCAGAGCCCTGGGAACGTCCCCTCAAGTCCTCCCAGGCCAGCAGCTGCCATGTACCCTTTCGCCAGGGGCCCAGGGGACCCGTGGGTCCCCACAGCAGTGGCTGCGCGTCACAGCCCACAGCACCTCCCAGAGAATTGTGCCCTGTGCAATGTACAGTGCCCCAGAGTCACAGAGGAGGACGTGTCCAGCACCAGTGGCCTCGACACATCCCCACCAACCTCACCTCAGGCGTTGGCGTGCCGCAGACAAATCCTCCTGTCCAGTGGGGACACGAGGTACCCAGGCTATGCTCGTGCAGCAGGACCACAGGAGGCTGCAGGGGGTCTTTCTGTGTCACTGTAAGCCTGGAGGGGACTCCCCAGGCGTGGAAGCCTGGCTGTACCGTACCTGGGAAACCTACCTGTGGTACCCACAGCATGCCGCATGGTTCCCATGTGCTTCTTGCCCAGACGGTGCAGGGACCTTGTGCCCTCTGAGCCACGTGGGGTAGGACACAAGGGGGACATCCACAGCCCCATCTGTTCCCTGTGTGGCCTCCTTGCGGCTGACCCAGGGGAGGAGAAACCGGGGCGGGTGGCAGTTGGTGGTATTTTCCCTGTCCCTCTTCCCCTTTTAGCAAGGTGGGAGGGGGTTACGTGCATACCTGCTGCCAGAATGGCACGGGGCACGTCTCTCGTGGGTATCAGGGGAGAAACAGGGAGCCCTGGCAGACTTTGCACAGTGCAGGGAGCAAGGGCAAAGGGACCAAACGGCAGCCAAGTTGGCAAGTAGAATTTATTAGATGTCGGTCAAACCCAAAGTCAGGGTGACTGGGTTTCGGCAGGAAGCATACTGGGCGCTAAGGTGGAAAGCTGGCCACGAACCCTCATGTGAGGAGAAGACCCCAGCCCTTGCCTCTGAGCACCTGTCCTTCCTTGTTCTCCCACCCCACAATGCTCCCAGAGAGCTCAAGCGACGCACAGGACTCGAACGCTCATCTTTGTCCTACAGGCGTGCCGTTTCTGGGAACGTGCCCCATGGGATGTTCTTGGGCGAGAGGAGGGAGGAGCACTCGCCAAGCACGGAGGAGGGAGTTCCACTGCATCTTGAGGCCTTGCCATACTGAGGAGCCATCAGGAGGAACCTCGTTGTCTCCAAAAGGTAGGCATTTGCACCTTTTTTTCACCAAATACAGCTCAGATTAAAAAACCATAGCATCATCAGCCTCTCAACCAGACTCATCCCAACAGCGAATCAGTGCGCAGCACAGACGGACGAATGGATGGGGACTCTGTCACAAGCCACATCATCATTCTATTTGTGCTGCAGAATTGTATTATTTGTGCCACATTGTTGTTAGTTTTGTGCCATATTACTGTTCTGAGGTTTTTCTGTACTGCAGCAGCCCAGGGACCTTAGCAGAGACCTGAAGGCAGCCAGGAGCAGGGCAGGTCCACAGGGCACTGCCGTTTTGGGAGCTGGGGTGGGCGCAATGCTTGCCGAGAACTGCCGCACCGTCGGGGTACAGGGACTCTCTGTCCAGGGCAAAGTAGTCTTGAGAGGCCAGGGAGAAATGGGACGAGATCCGGCCGGGAAATCTCATCTCAGAGAGGGTCCGGGCCGAGGGAGGCCCTACTCCGTCTTGGCGGCCGAGGGGCTGCTGGACACTCCCGCGTCTTTCTCTCGCATCTTGCGCAGGTAGTCGTGGGGGCCTTTGCCCTCGAAAGCTGTGGGGCTCTTGTAGGAGCCACCGATCTTGTCCCAAAGGGTGAAGTACTGCCCGTAGTTGTAGTCGAAATACAAGTGGTGGTCGGTGTGGTGGGCTGAGCCGTTGATGACGTGCCGCAGGAGGCGGGGGACACGGTAGTCGCCATCGTGAATGGAGATGGTCCATACATTGACGAAGATGTAGAGGCCTAAGTAGGTGATTTTGTGCAGGGGAAAGAGGAAAGGGTAGATGTGGTAGGGCAGGCTCTGCATGAAGCCGTCGACGGGGTGGAAGGCGTGGCTGGCGAAGGGTGTCGCGATCTTCCAGAGGTGGTGAGGCTTGTGGAAGCGCTGCAGGGAGAGGGTGCATGGTCAGCCCCCGAAGCTGGGATGTGTGTGGGGCCATTGCAGGCCAACCTCTCCGAGGAGGTCCCCTGGCCGGGGACAAACTTGCCACCCAAGAGCAGAGGGGGCCGAGCCCACCATTCCCTCCAGGGCACGTGTTCCCCGGGAGGAGAGGCTGGGGTGTGGGTGTGATGTGGTCCCGCCCTCCCACCTCGTACCTTATAAAACAGTTTGTGGTGGAGAGCGCGGTGTATCCAGTAGATGCCCATGTCGGTGAAGAAGAGGAAAGACAGCATGCTGAGGAAGACGCCCAACCAACCTGGGGGAAGAGGGATGTTAGGGGCAGCACCCGTGGGCACCAGGAGGGGGCTGGGGAGGCGTGACAGCCCTTGCAGGGTAGATCCTGCTGAGGAGATGTGGCGAGAGATTTGGACAATCTCCTGTGACTCAGAGGTAGCAAGTTGTGTGCTGGATTGTCATGAGCTGGGGCAGGCGTGTGCTTCCTCTTGTTGGCGTAAAGGGAACTTGGTATGACGACTAAGAGATGGGACGGCGCAAGGTACGAGGTGCTCGGGTGGATTTTGGGGGGCTTGTGCAAGGTGCACCATCATGAGGAGAAACAGGGCAACCCAGGGAGCAGGGAGAGGGTGCTGGCCCGGTGGGGGGGCATGGAGAGCAGCTTACCATAGGGAGAGTCCTCGATGTTGTCGTAGAGCTTGCTGTAGCCCCGTACCTCCGCGAAGAACAGGGCTACGGTGGGCACGCTGATCCAGGGGAGCGAGCGCAGCGCGTAGGTGATCTCTCGACGCACCTGGTTCTGCAGGGGTGGGGGAGAGAGGTCAGGAGGAGGGGGTGTGCCAAGAGCCCAGACCGCTGTCACCCACAGGGGCACA